GGGGGCGCGGGCCGGGGGGAGGGGGCGCGCGAAGGGAGCGGCCGGCCCGAGCCTCGCTCCTTCTCTGGAGTACTTCCATCACTTCTCAATCAATGAGCCTCCCACCACGGCCCTCCCGAGCCTCGCTCGCGCCCACGGACCCACTCACAATTCCTTGATCAGCACCATCTTTCCGGAACCCCCACACAGCTGCTGCCGCTACCACCACCACTGCCGCCGCTACCGCCGCTCACGGCGCCTGCGCGGCCCCGCCTCCCTGACCAAGGAGCGGCCGCCGCGCCTGCGCGTCCACACCCTTCCGCCAAGAGCCGTCGCGTCGGCGCGGGAGAGGAGCTAGCTCCGCCCCAGTTCCGCGCTCCACCCTGGGCGCAAGAGGCCTCCACTGAGGCTGCGCGGCCGGCGGGAGGGCGTGCTCCTTCTACTGCGGCTGCGCCAAGTCCGCGCGGTGAAGGCTCCTCCTTCCAGTCAAGTTCCCTCGGGGCGTCTGTGCAGCCTACGCTTTCCGGTGAGTGTAGCAGTCGGTTCCCTGGAAGAAACTGTCTCGCTGCTTTTGAGAGGTTCGCCTGTTTGACGTACACCTCACTTTCGAAGTAAACATTAAGAACTTCTGACGGGTTCGGGAGGCCGCAGCCCCGGGTTCCGCTCCCCTCAGGCGCCCCGTCGGATTCCGCGGGAAGAGGTTCACCTGGCTCGCCGCTCACGTGCGTGCCTCGGAGCCCGCGTGAGCGCAGCCGTCTGGCCACCGCTCACCTGGCGAGGGCATGCAGCTGTGGCCACGCGCGTCCCCCGCGCCCACATTCACCTCTGCCCTGGAGTCCAGAGTCCCTCAGTTGTTGTGACTCACAGGAGGTGCTCCCAGCACTGCCGACCAAGCCCCCCGTGGGGAAGAGGGGTGCTCTCCCCCTTAACACCCAGGAAAGGGACCTGTTCTGGGAGGACGTTAGCGCGGCCCGGGTGAATGCCCCGCACCACTCCCGCCCGCGCCCTGCTCCAGCCTGAAAGGCCGCGAGGTGGACCTGAGGACGAGCTGAAGCCCGGGGGTCACCATCTTAACTCCACGCCAGGGCCGGCCTGGGTCCTGGGGAAACATCTGGAAACAAAATAGACAGTTCCTGCCCTCACTTAGGAACAAGAGAATTTGGCGTAATGCTAAGTGCTATGTTATGGATAAAATAAGAGAGAGTGATGGGGGAGGCAGAGTAAACAAGGGAAGGACTCTCCGGAGGCCACTTTTGAGCTTCGTGTTATAAATAGACCAGCCTGTGAAGCTAGGGAGAGGCATTCCAGTCGGGAGGGGGAGGGGGTGGAAATGAATCCTGAGGCTAGAATAAGCTTTGAGTATTTAAGGAGCAAGGAGAGGTCAGGTGTGGCTGGAACATCCTAAGTGAGAGGGGGAAATAAGCCGGGACTAAACCGATCACCAGGCCATAGTAAAGGGTTTGAATTGTATTCTAAGAACCACGGGAAGCCACTGAAAGGTTATTAAAAGAATAAGAGTGTCGTTAAAACACGTCTACATAAACCTGTGTGGCATATCTGATACTGGAATACACCTATGGAATTAGGGCTACCTCAATGATAAAATAAAATAAAATAAAGTAGTAGTGAAGTATTTAACAAAGAGCTAGAAGCTTTCCTCCTAAGGCAGTCCCTGGGATTCACTGAGTTTCTGTGACGTGTGAAGCACTGTGCTGGTTGCTGGCGAGGACTCCAAGGCATACATGCTCTTTCAGGGAGCTTGGAAACTGGAAATGACTTTGATTATTCACCTGGGATACGCCAAGTACCCTTCTAGGTAGTGAAGATGCTTTATCTCATTTTACCCTTAGGACATCGTTATAGGAAAGGTATTTTAGCATTCTTTAGAAAAGGGTGGTTCAGGCAGCCAAGTTAAGGGACTCGTGCAAAAATCACTCAGCTAGCTTGTTTACGCAGCCAGATTTCAAGTCCAGGTTTTTAAAACGTCAGTGTCGGGATCTTCCCACTACCCTGACTTTTTTCTAGATTAAAAAAAAATTAAAAGTTGAGGCATGCAATCTTTATGACATATAATTGTCCTTAATTATGGAAAGAAGGGTGCTACAGTCAAAATCAGAAGGTACTTAGAGATAAGAATAGATTACAGATTTGAATACTATACCCTGTATTTTTAGAGTTAGAAGATGTTATTTAAGCTTCAAGGAGGTAATGTGAATTGCCAACCTTTAGTCATTTTATGTTATAGTTTCTCCCTAAATGTTAAGTAGGCTGAAAATATAACTAGCTTTAAGAACATGGGTACGTTTGTGGTTCACATGCTTTATCAATGATTAAGGAAAATTAGGACACCGCTGAGCATTTCTGTAATTTTCTGAGTCTTCCCACAAGTGTTCACTAATTCCATTGTTTGCACAGCACAGCTTCTCATAGTACTCAAATGTTTATAAAATGAATGAAGAGATGATGTGCTGGATATTGCATAACTCTGAACTAGTATACAGTATGGACATCATCTCCTTTGAACATAGTAGTAATAGCTGCTTTCAATTCCTTGTATGTAAACTTTAACTTATGGAGTCCTCTCATGATCACTTTCCGTTGAATGTCTCAGTGTGGTCCACATTTTCTGAAGTACATTTGGATTGTATCCTAGTCGTTGTGAGTAATGTATTGTAAAGACTTTGGATTCTATTATGTTCCTAAGTGTATTGTTTTTTTGTGTGTGTGTGTTTTTTAAATCAGGCCATTAGATTGGCTGAACTGTAACTAGAAACTTTTTAGTGGGCAGTAGCTAGAGTTTTTGTTTGGTCCTTTAAGCCTTATCTGGGCTACTGGGAATCTGCTCTTTACGTATGTACTTTATGGGTTAACTGGAGATTGTTTATAAACACAATTTGAGGGTACTCCTTGCTCTCTTCTTTGTAGTATTTTTCTTCCTCACCAGCTGCTACTTTTGCCCTGAAATCTTTTCCTTCGAGACAAGAAAGTAAAACTATAGATTTTCTACTCGAGTTTTAGCCTCTTGGCTGGCATGGGTTGTGGCCTGCCCACAGTAGAAAATGGACAACTCAACTCGGTACTCAATCCACTACTGTGTCTTACTGGTTTTGATTGCTTTCCAGTGCTTTCAGGTAGCTGTGTGGTTTTACTTAAATATTTTGTCCAGACTTCATAGGCGTTATATGTGGAATTGTTGTTCTAATATGAGTTAATTGGCCATTATTAGAAGCAAAATCTCTGGGCTCTTTTTAAGGCGTGAGATTTATAGACACTCATCTGAAGAGCACAGTCTTACATGGGCCCTCATGAGTCCCTATTTTAAGACATAAAATAACATTAGCCATGACTTTACCCCAGGTTTTAGCTGTTAGATTTGGAAGTAGGAACCTTAATTAGAGTTAGTTAGATCAGGTGGAGGTATTCCTCCAAACTGGATGTAATGAACACACTGCAAAGTTACAGGACCAGCAGTTTCAACAAGCCTTGTTTCGTAGTCATGTAGAGCCCATTAAGGGAAAGGTCCATTTCATGTTAAATCGTTATGATAAACATCTTCAGTTCTTGTAAATGATTCAAAAATAATATATAATTTAGAGTAGTGATGGATTTGGGTGTGCCCAAGGAAAAGAAAATTGCCTACATTATTAGGAAGTTCAAGATACATCACCATCTGTGACTTGATGGAGGGGGGTGTTACATAAAGATGTATGATGCCATTTGTAAAACTAATTTCTCTTTCCATTTAATCTGTTGTTGCCTAAGAAAATGCAGCTAGTAATTAAGATACCATTTTGGTGTTGCTTATAAATGCTGTTGCCTTCATTAAATTTCACACTTGTGAGAAGGAGCTATTAAGAGACAGCCTAAGGTAACACTTTTGAATAGCTAACTTTGTTAAAAATACGTTTCTAAATTTCTTGCAATAAAATGTAATTGCATTTTGTTTTCACTTGCTAGAATCTTCTCACATATTAACTATGAGAGATAAGACTTGGTGCTAGAGGGAACATTCTGTTAAACTGGAGTAGTACAGTGACTTTTGAGTTTCCCTTTCCTTGCCATTCATGATAAATAACATTTTCTGGTCTCTCTAATTTTTTTTACAACTCACTTCTCCTAACATTAAGCAGTGGCAGGAGAGACATTCCAGAACATATACTATGTTGAAACTGTCAAATTTTGAAATATTTGTCATTAAAGTGGTTAAGAATCAATCAATAATCATTGAGCTTGATTGCAAAACTAATACCTTGTTCTAGTATTGCAACACTAGAGCATCTTGATGGCATACCTTTAAAGTTAAAAACAACAAAACAAGGTAGGGAAAGAAAAGAAGAAAGGGAAACAAACTATATACTTTTTTATTGTTGGTAACATAAAATCATAGCCAATAAGAACATGTTCTTGCCTTATAAAAACTGAAACATAGTTAAATTGTTGCTGTTGTATGAACAGTGAACTTCTTATAGGACATGTCTTTAATGTTTCATGTGTTATGTATTATGATTTTTTCCATTGGGATTCTAAGTCCCCATTTCTGTGACTTGCCTCTAGTGAGTCTAGTATAAGATGAAAAGGTTTTTAGATTAAATGTTAGTGTTACCTTTAAGCACCCTGTATTGACTTATCTTAAGGTAGATCTTCATTCAGATATTTTTATTAGTATCACTATCATACAGGCACTGAGATCCTCTTTTTCCCCCCCACTAATTAAGTCCATTCCATGTTTTTAAAAGTGATAATATTAACATGCTCACTTCTAAAGTTTTTTCTTCATACAGATGATAACATAAGCATTCTCTCGTTTCACTAATTTTAGCCTCAGAAGACTGTCATTGAAGAAAAGATGTCTAGTTCTGTCTTTTAGGTTTATTTTGTCTTTTACTTTTTCCCGACATTAATAGAATGTGTAGTTAGTGGTGGATGCATTTTGTGATACGAATACTTTCTACACAGAACAAGACCAAAACTTTAAATTTGCTTTGAATGCAAATGTAGAAGTCTTTTGAACCAGACAATTTTTAACCTAGTTTGAAATCAAACTACTGTAAGTTGTATAGTTGAAAGTGTGTTTTCTTCAAACTAACCCACAGATCTGTAATGTTTGTGTATCTACAAACACTGACCATGTTGAAGATATACTGGGAGAGAAATTCTCATTTTCAATAGCAATAAAAGATACCTAGGAATGAAGTTATTGCAAATGCTTTAAAGTTATATGAAGACAACTTTACAACATTCCCAAAATACACAAATATAGACTTGAACAAAAGGAAATACGTCCTGTGTTCTTGAAAAGGCTGTTTCAATGTCACAGCATACCATTTTCTCTCCATATTAAAAAATAAACAAGCTCAATAAAAACACCAACAAGTATTTTTCCAGGAGACAGAAAGACCAAATGAGATTTACTGCAGGAATGAAAGGTTGGTTTAACATCCAAAAAGCAATTAATGTAGTATTCCATATTAGTAGAATAAAGGACAAGTAGCACATAATCATTTCAGTAGACGCAGAAAAGGCATT